GAAACGTTGGTAAACATCGACCAGACTACACAGCGCAACAACCCAGAAGACAGAAATCTTCATACTCATCGCCCTGATGATGGAGGCAGTATGACCTCTGAAACGTTGGTGGACATCGACCAGACTACACAGCGCAACAACCCAGAAGACGGAAATCTTCAAACTGATCGCTGTGAAAACCTAAAATCTTACACTTCTTTTATGTTCTGATTGCCTTCTCTTCCCTATGGCACACAAAGACAAACTTAAACTTTTTGTTCAATACGTATCTCACTTTACTTGAGTCTCCATTGTTTTATTTCTGTCCAGCATTTTGGTCTATAAAACTACTGACCATTTTATCCATTCCACATTGGGTTTATCTAGGCCAGGGGTGAGGAACCTGTGGCCTTCTAGGTCCTTAAGTGCAGCCTTTTGACTGAATCCAAATTTTACAGAACAAATCCTAGGATCAACTGAAACCTCCATGCTGCAACCAAACATTCAAATGCTTTCCAACAAAAAGCAGACACAACAAAGTCATTAAAAGATTAGTTAACTTTAAAATTAACAAATAGTTTTCATTTTTTGAAATTATTAAGTACATAGTAGTTACATTTTTACAAAATAATGTACATTTTTAAGTATATCTAATTGAAGTTTCTTGAATGCGGCCTTATTTGATTACAGCTAAATTAATGCGGACTTCCAACATGAAAAGGTTCCCCACCCCTGATCCAGGCAGTATTCTGAGAAGCACTCTGAACCTAAAATCAGATTAACTCATTCATTCTATTTCATTTACACTATGTTCAAAGGAAACTCAAATTAACTAAAATGATACCCAAGACATCAGTCAAACCACTTAACATGGAAATATCCAAGAAGAATAAGATAATGCATGGATATATACAACAATCCCAGAAGGGTCCATGAGTTTATTTTGATTTGTTGTAACGATGCAATTCTTGTTTTTAAATGACCTAAGCATGGAATGAACGTATATTTTCAGATGGCCAACTGGATGCCATATATGACATCACAGTGGGGTATCCTCGCACTCTGCCCCAGTCTGAGATAGACATTTTAAAAGGAAGTTTTCCAGAAGAAGTACACTTCACAATAACTCGGTGAGTAAATTCAATACAAAATTTTGATTGTTTGTGTGCAGCATAATTTTATACATTAAAGGCAAATTAAGTTACTTAGCACTAATGTCAAGGTCAATGCTGTGGTTGATTCTTTTTTCATCGCCTCTTTGCCTGAACCACATAATTGCTCTATATAGGATATCACCCTACTTCACTCTTCACTTTTCTTCCACTGCTGAATCTACATAAAGGCTCCCCCCCCCCCCTCAAAGATGGACAATGTAGTATTTTCTAAAATATTAGAAAACCTTACATATTTTATGTGGTCTATACCAGAAAGCCAAACCTACACATTACACATCCCCTGCCTAATAAGTATAAGATCTCTCCTAGATAAATCCCTAGTTAAATAATCATCTTCACACTCCTTTTCATGAAAAACGACACAGTCCGAGTTGAGTAAAATGAATATTCATATGAGAGCCTGAAATAGGGGAAAATATCTCTGCCAAGTATAATGGTAAGGGACTGGAAAGTAGTGCTAGAAAGATATGTGGGATTGTGAAAAGATTTTACGTGCTGTGACAAAACGCTTATTTTCTTGTTCAGTTTTGCTGGTTCCAGCCTTCCATCTGGTGAAGAAGAGCTGAAAGAGTGGCTTGCATATCGATGGAAGGTAAAAGAACAGACTCTCACCAAATTCTATTCTTCTGGATCATTTGAAACTTCCGGTTTTTGCAATAAAGATTTAAAATCTTCAGAAGTCTCTGCAATAAACTTTCCAAATGGTTCCTTATTGGATGATAGCCAAGTAATACGTCAGAATTTGGTTACTTCCTTCCCTACTATTGTTCAGAATTCACCGCATAATTCCTGTCATTCATCTAACCATCTAAAGGTAAGTTGTCGCTATGATGCAACTTTCAATCATCTTCCAAGCCATGAGAAATCCCGGAGCACTATACTGTACCTCACACTCATATTCTGGACTATGCTATGTTTCATTGCTTTGTACGGAATTCTCACATCATTCATCATTCAGGTGTTTGCTGTTATGAACATTTCTATGTTCTTGTTTTTGTCATTTTTCACTCAAGGTTTCCATCTTTTAGAAATATCTCTGTATAGATTCAAAACAAGGCCATTGGCTGCCGGAAGCACGATAAAAGGAAAGTAAGCTTTATTTTAATTACATGTGGTTAATAAATAATTCAGTGCTCTGAATGGAACTAATAAATATAATATTCCATAGGTCAAGATTTAATGTTTACTTTTACCTTATATATGTTTGTTGCTAGAAGTTAACTTTTGTTTTTGTAAACATTGCATTTTATACATGTAAGTACAGGGTACTGAGTCAAGGTTTAGCAAAAGTCCGCTAAATGTGGAATCAATAAAACCGAATGGATAGACCAAGAATAATTTCTGTGGGGAATTTTATTGACAGTTAAATGTAAATATTGACAAAATTCACATAAATATATACTTTCGTAAAGTTATGACTTTGTCCATCTGAGCAACAATTAAGGTATGCAGAATGTACTTTTATGGGGTTCCAGTAGGTCTCAAATCTCAAACCTGAGATCTTTGGCATGTGAGGCCAGTGCCTTGATTACAGACCAGGAACTCTCCCGTCTTAAATATTGGAAACGTCTCTTCCTGGTATGTTACCTAAACCTATGGTAAGTGGTCAGAAAAGTCAAATATAAATGTCTGGGAAGGGGTAACTTACAGAGGAAGATTTACCAGTGTAACAGAAACCCAGATTTAATTTCTTGTGACGTGTGATTCAGTTGGATTTGCATTTGTAAGTAGGTTTCAAATAATGTAACTTAAATTGAAAAGCATATCTGTGATCTGAACTACATTCCAGTTCCACTCTCTAAGCAAACTGAGGTTCATTTTGATAACTGACAGCATTGCAGTGCCATTTTCTATCTGAAATAATCCACCTAAATAACCTGCTAGTCTGTTTTGTAGCTGAAATGAGGCAAAACTTGGTTGAGACTGGCCAATTTGTTTAGTACCCCAGATCTGTATAATAACAGTAGTTGTTAGGGCCTGATTTTAAAATTACCTTCTTACATGTATAGTAGGTAAATAAATCAGCAATATATTAATAGGTACATTGTAAAGTAAGAACAAATACTTCATGCAACACACATGAATGCATAAGATGCTCGAATTCTGTATTATAAAATGAGTCGTAATATCCCCTTCTTCGTTCTTATGATCACTGGACAGAGAATTGATGTGGGTCTGTGGTAAGTTATATCTCTCCCAGTCTAATACCAGTATGTGTTCCATTTACACCTACAAATTTATCCATTTATTGCTGACTCACTCTCTTTCTATGAAGACTGGTATGAGCAGTGGAGTTTAATGCAAGAATGGATATATAGATCATGTATAGGTGCATGTTCATATTTTTACTAATGTAATGCATGACTGGAATAGGATACATGCATCCAAGTAGACATACCAGTAAAATTAAAAACAGATACACATTAATTATAATGTTAAAATATGTTTATTATTTGATGTATTATTCAGGCAGGGTAGAGTCCTTGGCTCGAACGTGAGCCAAATTCTTTCTTTATGCAAGTCAGACATGTTGTCCACATAGAGGCTTTCTTGTTGCTTGTCTTAAAATATTAATATTTGCTGTACACTGTAAAAAAGTCACTGTATTTAATAAATAGATAATAAAATATGTAGTACATATTATTCAAGTAAAGAGCCAACCAGCCAAATTTAAAATTTGTCCATTTTAAGTGCTGAACTAATCATGGGAGTTCTCAATTTCAATCAGAAACACAGTTCAATTCTTAATTTGTATATTAATTAGGAAAGTGTACATTAGTTAGGATAACTATGCATTGTTTTAAATGTTGTTAATGACAACTTTATAAAAGTTGTACCATGTGAATTCATTGTGCCAAATGAATAGAAATACTTTCCCAGTCTATAATCGTGTAAAAAAATGTATACTGTGCAGTTTAGTGGAATATAATGACTGTTATTGTACAATTAAACACATAAGTAGTATATGAAAATATTAAGTGTTTGTAAGATATTCACTATACGAGAAACAAGGACTGCTGACAGAAAGTATCATGGACTTCGATCTCAGTAGTTATAGTTGGAATTAGGTAATGACTTTCAGAAATGTTTACATACGTATTATTTATCATAAAGTTGTCAAATATAATCAAATAATTAAGCATTTCAGACCTTACTAGGCAATATTGAGTTTTAGTTCTCATATAAGATGGATAACACTTAGAAACATAGTTCTAGTCTTTTCTGTGACAGTGAAATATTTTCAGTAACATAAAGTTATTGGATGACACTGCATTATAGTGAAGGTGTGTAACAATCTTCTTTTCAACACTGTACAGCAATCGTCGTCATGAATATAAATAATCTACTATTGGTCTCTTGTGAAAAAAATATATGCAAGTTTACTGAAATGCATTAACCTTTATTGCATGGGAATAGGGGATTTAAACCCCTGTACTAAGGGGCTGCTGGCTGGACTTAACTCCAGGTTTAAGACTTTAGAATTTTGGTAGTGGAATACACGGCCAACTTGACTGAACTAAGACAATGCATGGTCAATAAAGGTTAAAGAGCAGTAGTATCTAAAGATATATCACAGACCAAGAAATTGAAATTTTAAGTTCTATTTGCAAGTGATTATTTATTTTCTACAGTTTTTAGGTTTAGCATATATTACAAATAAAAGAAGAAGCTTACAATGACAAGTTCATATTCTATTTATCTTGTGTTAATACAATGTATTACTGTTACAGTGATGACTCATGTGGGACCAGATTTCTGAATGAATAAATATAGTGAAACAATTGTTATACATTTTCCATTTGGTGCGAGTTTGTGTCCAGGTGCCACAGGAGACTGCTGTAGACATTTCCTGCATTGATACTTTTTCCATGCCTAATTTTTCATATGTCCTCATCAAACATTGCGACCAAGTGGTTAGCACCCTTGTTTTGTATTCGAGAATTCACATGTCCAAATCTTCGTCTGGAGACAAGCTAGTCTGACTGAGCTGTTATGTGATTTTCCTCAGTCCCTCCAGAACATTCTGGGAGAGTAACTTATATGAATCCATGACAGTTCCTTTCCACATCTTCTCCATTTCATTATTCACTAATTATTCTATAATTTTAGCCTATATAATCTGAAGTATTACATCATTAAATAAACTGTAGATAAATAAATTCATACTGCCCCAACTGTAAGTTTCTCCATTATTTATTTAATTAAAGCTAAATTAATTTATGTTATTCAGGCATATAATTACATTCATAATTGTTTTGTTTTGTTTTACAGTATAACATTCATATATCTTCCTGCCTGAATTCCCATTCTCCTCCAGCTTAAACTGCATAAAAGACAATTGTTTAAATTGCCTTCATTATATGGTTTGAAGTTCTTAAAGTATGTGTCAATTGGCTGACATTAAGCACATTTACATTTTAAATTGATTTGCAGTAGCCCTTCTTTATGAGACTGTTCATAGCTGGATTGAAGTTTAGTGCAATCTAGAAATGTGAATAAATTAATATATCTTTTTATGAACCAGTAAAATAGAGAATATATGTATTAAAATATTTTCTGTTTTATGTAAAACTATTTCTGTGGCTGACTGAAGCATTAGTTGAAACTAAAGTCTTAGTTGACTTGTGTTGTGCATAGCTGAATAACCAAGGTTCTGCATTAGGAACATGTGTTAGTGAAGGTGAATAATAAAAAGCTGAATGAACAAAAGTAGCATTTGAACCAAGGTAAGACAAAAATCATTTGCACATAAACATTTCAGTTAAAACTTATCTGGATTATGTGATCAGTGCATAATAATCATAAACAGGAGTTTGATTAATTTTAAATAAGTTAATCCTAAAACAAATATATTTAAATCATATTTAGAAGAGTAATCAGTTATTTGTATTAGCTTCCATTAGACCTACTTACATTGATAACAAAGTAGAATTTAGCCTCAACATAACCTTACCAAAGTGGAACATAACCTGAATTTATCTAGTCAGCCGTACTTCATACTTCTCACTGAACTAAGGGTCCCTTAATGTTGTCAGTTGTATTATTTATAATAATGTGTAACACTTTCTGTTAGAAATTTTGTACAGTTTAAAAAGTAAAAGTATTGTATGTGTTTGTATTATTAATGTTTTAACATTTAACCCTTTAAAGATGTTCTGGATGCAGCTGTATTTGCATTAGCTTTATGAACCTTTAAATGGACAGCATCATGCCCAAATGGATAAATTGAATTTTTCTAATTGCGGTTTATTCCCATAGTTCTTAAACTGACAATGTTTTGGTAATGTATTGAAATACTGCATTGCAACAAACATTATTCTCAAAAGTTATAAATGTGGTAATCATTTGTGCTTTAACTGTGAACTGTTACAAATGACAGGTCACTGTGTTGTAGATATACATGAATAAGAAATAGAGAACTGTGCATTCTGCATAAAATGTGATGTAGGCTTAAGAGAGATGAAAAAAAAGAAGTAAAATTTGTTGCAGGTGTTTTTTTGTTATTCTCCATCTTGATAGGCTTACAAAATATACTAACAAACCTCCATTTGCCTGCTGGTCATGTTATATTATATATTGTTCTAGGATGTGGTTCATACAGTGAGTGTCTATATTTCTCTGACTTTGTCTTACATAGACAACCAATATGGCTGTAATTATAGGGGCAATCAGAGAATGTGAACTTACAATGAACTATAAATCACTTCCACATGGGAGGTAGGCACTAGTTCAGTGTGGCACATTTTGGCACAAGGGCCACCTGCAGGTTTAGTGTTTTATCCAATCCAACCATTACATTCATTATTATTATCTGGTCCCCTGGTTGGCACATAATTTAGTATTGTATCTGCATCTAAAAGGAAAATTTTGAGGAGTGATAGGAGTCCATATCTGGTTTATATTCAGGATGGTATGCCTTCCATATATAATGACGTGAATACTGTACATTTTCGTTCAGCATCAGATTAGGAAAGTATTGCTTGTAAACCAAAATAATAAGGAAATTCATAATAAAAGTAGCACATTAATTATGAAACTAAGGCCTGCTTGTTTTTCCATCATCATCCATGCATATACTCCCTGACATCTGGTGAGAAAAGTATAAACTCAGTGTGTTTGAATTTTCTACAGGCATACAGGAAGTATGTTGCAAACAGAATCTAGTAGTTTTTAATGATGTGATGAAACTACATCAGTAACTGAGCTACATCACCTACTTTCATAGTATACAGAGAGTTAAAGCAGTGTATTTCCAGTTTGTAATGAAAGAACAAATCTGCCTACCTCTGGTTTACAATAAGAGTAGAGAGGTCTCTTTCAAAACATTTTTGTATGCTGGCAGTGTTTAATTTTTAGATTGTAATGTACCTGAGTGGCCTGCATAATCCTGCTACACACTGCAGTGATGTTGTCTAAGAGCAAGTCTTTTTTAAACATTATATCAGCCATAACAGAATCTACCTCATAGACGATCCTGAACAGAAATGTAATCTTTAACTTGGACAGAGAAAACAGAGACAAGGAATGTCAGTAAGACCACAACTCCAGCTTCCTACAATAAAACATACTGTTGATGTACTTATTTATAGTTGACTCCAGTCAGGTTAATTAGAACAGATCTGCTCTAATGTTGTCTGACGTGGCAGAAAATACTGCAAAGGTTGTGGGACTCCCTGGGAAACACTTGTGAAGAAATAATTTTTGAGGGAATGCAGCTTCCACTTTAGTTGTTTAATTAGTAACTATGTCCATATTTTTTATAAGGTAGTGCATGTTCTGTGTGTTATCATTGCAAAGCATCAGACTGTCCAGTTAGAGTGCTGTGCTGGTCTATTTTTGTCAGTCAGTAGGTAGACATTATGAGGGATACACATCAGTCTTTGCTAAACATTTAGGAAGCTGAGTAGAATTATTGGTCTAAATATTCTGTTAGTCATAACACTGATTTGTTTCAAAATGGAAATTGCACAACAAAAGAGCAATTTATTGACTTGTGGGGAGAACACATTACTTAATAATAAGAACAGAAGTTGGATTCAAGTATATTTAACTTGTACAGCTATTGATACATACATACACATTTAGAAAAGTGTGATATGAATGGACGTACTTTCAAAAACTACAAATTTATCTGTATCAAAACAATGGTAAATTGATCTGGCTCAAAATGTACTTTTATTCATAACTTTTAGTCTTGGTTAGCCACCATACTTCATCTGTAGTGGACAAATAATTTATGAATAGGAAGAGCTTATACTATAATTTTAATTTTACCTGCTGGAAACTTCAATAAACTGGCATCGCTCATAGTCCTCTCTGTTTGACAAACTCTAGTCTTGCACTTTAAGTGCATATCAATACAAAGTTCTTACACACATAAAAAGGGAATGTTTGTGTGTCTGCATGTCAGGTCTGAGTGGTCAGATTTTCACAGAAACTTGTCAAACAAAATTATTATGAAAGTCACATGTCCATGAATGATGCCAGGAGACTGAGATGAAAGTTATACTGTCTCTCCTTCAATTGCACAACCATGTTTATTTCCATTTAAATTTTGTACAATTAAAGGGCCCAGAACCTTATAATGCCTCATGGATTAGGAGCTGACCCGTTATGCCTAGGTAAAGCAACTTAGGTATAGAAGTCAAGAATTTCCTTTGCTCTGAAGATCCAGTCCAATCCATTTTATTAATACATTATTTAATAATATTATGTCAGCTATAGATATTTAGTGCTAAATGAGATAAGAGGATGGCTCTATACACTTAAATGGAAAACACCGGGGCAGAGCAAATTGTGAGATATTTCAAGGTATTATCTCTGCATTCACCTAAAGACTGAAGAAATGTGCAAACACTTCAGTCAGCTTATCACTAGCTTAGGAAAGATGTGAACTGGTGCTTTCTATATATAAGACAAACATTTGTGTACAAGAGTACTTGTAGCTGCCTTGTGCTGTTTTTCTTGTCCATTTTGTCCACCTTGATTTTATTTATACTATGTACTTCACTGCACACTTCCATTTTACTTGTTCATCCTTGAGCACAGTTTATAACCGGTGGCCAGTCCAGTTCTATGTCCTAAAAGAAATTAAAACTGAATCAATGTTTTAATTAATATAATCAGAGCTAAAGGACTGTTAAAATATCATCCAAAGTGGTAAATATAGCTACCATAAAAGTTTTAACAATTAAGAATTTGACAGAATCATAAAAGTAAGGTTCCTGCTGGAAAGCAACTGGAAGATGTGTTAAAATGGACAAATAATTATCAGAATCAACACTGGGCTTTACTTTCTGCTACTTGTGGATACCGTATAACGGTAAAAAGAACTTGTGGAAAATTATGATAATACTAAGAAAATGTCATCATACCCTACCTGCACATCTAATGCCAATATATCCACACACACTCCCCCTAGCAACTGGCCAAGGCTTGGTTGTGTTCGGCCAAAATCTCCATGCACAAACTCCTTGATGTAAGTTCCAGCTTGGGTTTTAATGTCCAATTTGAACATGGTCACATTTTCTGCAGAGGACCACAAGTTCTGTTATTCCTATTCTGTGTTACCATTAAGAACCAATGACAATGAAACAAGGGAGCAGTGATATTGTGTATTCTCCTTTCATCAGTTCTCCCACCCCTACACATTAATAAATGAAATAAGCTCTCACCAAAGAAATATCCAAGATATTTTTAATGCAATTTCATGTTTATGCCTGCCACAGAAACATGCTATATATACATAGGCAGCCAAAAATGTCAAAAGACCATATAGAAAAGCTCGCCCTCTGTTCATGTGGAAACACTGCATACTACTCACAACTTTAAAGTTAATTTGTAATACATAATAAATTATACATTTGCGTGGAATAAGTAGTGTTGAAAGGTCATGTATGCCAACAGCATTGGCTACCAAAACGAAGTGTTTCGTACTCTAACACATGCCATTTATCTGCTAAGTATAATGAAACGACTGTGAACATAATGTCTGTATAGTTATGTATTAAAGTGTCTTTACAATAATTTTGCCTCTTGTTTTGTATGGGTGCGAAACATGGTCTCTCACTCAGAGGGAGGTACACAGATTGCAGGTGTTTGAGAATCGGGTGTTGAGGAGGATATTTGGGCCTAAGAGGGAAGACGATGAGGCGTGGAGAAAACTGCATAATGATGAGCTTAAAAATCAGTACTTCTCCCCCAGTATTGTCAGGGTGATTAAGTTGAGAAGAATGAGATGGGTGGGGCATGTAGCACGCATGGATGGGACAAGAGGTGTGCACCGGGTATTGGTTGGGAAGCCTGAGGGGAAGAGACTGCTGGGGAGACCTAGATGTAGATGGGAGGTTAATGTCAGGTGGGATCTATGGGAGATAGGAGTTGAAGGAAACTGGATTTTGTTGGCCCAGGACAGGGTCTGGTGGAGGGCTTTGGTTAGTTCGGTGATGAACCTTCGGGTTCGGTAAGCCATCTAGTTAGTTATTGTCTTTACACCCTTGACATTAACTAACTACGTGCAGCAAAGTCCTCCCTGAGGAATTAATTCATATAATATGATCAAAATAAACAAGGTTTTAAAACAAATCCTGAAGGTCAGTTCTTTACAAAACCATAATAAGTAACACTACACTAGATGTCTTTACCATTCTTGCAGAGTTTTGTTGGGTTTTCAAGTAGCCATGCTTTCATGGAATGAACGGTTCTTGAGCGAGTTGCTAGTGGTCGTCGATGTAGTACCCTGACTGGTGTCTTCTGGCTCAAGGTGAGATCCTTAATGCTACCAAGTTGTTCTAGAGATCCTGGCTTAATTGCATCCAAACAAATGCACAGAGCCAAGTAATGTTTTATTTTCCTCTCTTCACCTGCTTTCAAGTTCATCAGCTGATCCCTGAGCCAAGTATATCATGACAATATGAGTAATAAGATGAAAATGCTATTTCCTCACTTTTGTGTTTTGAAAGTTACGTACATACAGACCCTGAGGTTGTGTTAGGAATCTTAGATGAAGATAATGATGAAACAGCTGAAAACATGACAGCAGCAGTGCCAGAGATAAAAGAATACTATAGCTATCCTCCACCTCTGACACTGTAGTCTCATTTGATTATTGAAGCAAAACTAAATGATACAATTTTAAATTTAACTTTACAAAACAAACAAGTAGAACAGCAAAGTTGATAAGGACACAAAAATACCTGCATTCCAAAATAATGAAAAGGACTTGTCACATAATTTTTCCTCTGATAGTAGATCTTTGCTTTTGATGGATTTGGGCCATACTAACTGCAAAGCAAATGAATGAAGGGTGTTCTTTCATGTAAAGTTAATTTTTCTCCATTATCAGTTATGATTGCATATGAAAGAATAATGAATATATGGGATTTACTTTATGTGATATCACATATACAAATTACAACTGGCATATATGTGAATACCTAAAAGTGACTGCGCAACTATTAGGAATGCCACTTGGATACATAAAGTACTGTTGTTTCCTTTGTGAGTGGAATAGCAAAGCAAAATATTCCAATATATTAAACAATTTCCTGGGTTAAATCACGTTAAATTTGTCCTAAATATGTTATCCAAAGTTATTTTGTAGCAGTTACAACTTTGTTACTACAGATTATTATCCGAGTTTCTTTCATTCCTAGTACTAATTTGAGCTTTTCTCACCAGACAGAACCAGTAATCAGTTTTTCACTGATGGTTACTACATCTTGTAGATTTCTTTAAAGCGTCTTTGTTTTATTTATAATGGTTCTTATATATTACACCTTTAAATGGGACTTTTTGCAAGCAGTTGTGATTGCATATATGATGCACATATTACTTCGTTATTAAAGCACATGAGAGTGACTGCAACAGTTATGGTGAAATGGAATGTGTGACAATAAACATACAAAGCAAAAGGCTTGGTAACTATCATGCCTCAATACAGAGCCCGAAAGTGTAATACTTTGAATTACAAACATACTTCTGAATTATCTGCAAGTCACGAACAGAGACTTCTTTGCTATTCTTGTTGATGTCTGTCTGCAAACTCTGCACCTGTTCTGCAGTGAACTTTATCCTGTGAGGATTCAGCAACTCACAGACAAATGGTCGTCCTCTTCCCAGAGTTCTGACATCCACGTCTTCACGACCTGAGGCTGAGAATTTAATCCCTACACAAGTGAATGAATGACCCCAAATAAGTTATGTGAACAATCGGTACAGAAGACAAAATATATGAAGAAAAGTAACACAGAGTTATGTGCAGGTAGAATTAACACAACTGACAAAATATATGAAGAAAAGTAACACAAGAGTTATGTGCAGGTAGAATTAATACAACGGAATTGTTACAAGCCAAATGGCCATAATGAGTACTTGTTTGTTAAGTAGCTTCCTTGACTGAAAAAAGATAACATTATTTTATAATGCTATATCAGCTGCCGAAGTTTTGACAAATCAAATTAATTGTGGATGACAATTATAAGAGAATAAATCAAGTCACATGTGGGAGGAGAGTTTGATGGCATCTTTCATGGCATTTGCATGCTGAAACTGAAAAACGGCAGGATACATGTTCCCTAGTTAGGATACAAATGAGAGTGAGATGTGCTATACCCTTTTATCTCCTATGTGGAGCATAGGGGTCTCCTTTTGGAGGTTTCTGATCTATTTTTAGACATTTGGGAGGGACTTCTTGGATGAGTCATCAGCTCATTGCAAGGCTCCTACCAAAGACATGGGTGAGAAATGGCCACTGAATTTTGCTTATGAAACATCTCATTCATGCTCGTCAGATTCTTTTACATTCTGTAAATCTACAACATGGGACCGACGGCTTCATTTCCCCTCCTAAGGAAGTTGTGCTATGGATTTTTATCACCCTTAAGAATCCATCAACCTTGACTAGGTTTTAACCCACAAACCTTTGGTCCAATAGCAAGCATGCTACCACTAGACCAGTGAAGTTCTTAACCCTTTCTTGAACCCTTATTGTGCAAGAACAGGGATTTAAATACCCATATTATGGGACTTCCAGCCAGACAAACTTGGATTAATAGTTTAGTGGTATGCTAGTGGGCAATAAAGGTTAACAGACGCTTTCAAGATAATTATTCTATGCATACATTTGTTAATGGTCATTCTGAACACTATTTTAATGCATCCTGCTAAATAACAAGGGTAAGAACAGTGATACTGTTGGTACAGAATGTGTGTTGTAACTTTGTAAGCAGCATACTTATTGAGGGCAATGGTCTGTAATGTTTCCTAAGAAATTACTACAATGAAAATGAGGCAATTATAAAGAATACCTTCTGCTCTACTGGCTTTTTGAAGACTGTCAGAAATGATCTCTTGAACTGAAGATTCCATTCTTCTTTCACCATCAATAACCCAGGGTGTCTGGCTCAGTGTTCGTGAAAATTTGTTGTAGCGACCTAAATGAAATATTCCACAAAACAGGAGGCTAGAGATAAGAGCATAAGGAGGACAATTACAATTTATACTTCTCACCAGATATTATTAAGGTGATGAGATCAAGGAGAATGATGTGGAGAGATGGAAAATGCATATAAAATGTTAGTTGGAAAATCTGAACAGAAGACATCACTTGGGAGACCTAGGCATAGGCGGGAATATAGTATAAAAATTAATAAAATCTTCTCGGGCAATCAGCCGCGTTAACTGGTTACCGTAGTAAACCGACATTTTGGTAACAAACTCTGTCCCCATCTTCAGGGTTCTGATGTGACTGGATCCTCGGAAGTCATCTGTCAACTCCACTAAATCCAATGGAAATAGCAGGGGGAAAGAAACGATAAATGTTTAAAAATATGTGGTACAGTTGTTAGTAAAATAGCTAAAAATTTAAACAACATGGAAATTTCTATATTCATACCCAATAAATATGAATTGTCTGTAATATATCATAAATTCATGATTATATTTAATAAAAAAAAAAGCCCCACCTGGTGATGCAATGGCAAAAATCCCCCCCCCCCCCCCACATAACAGGTTAACATTAACTACAAATGAACTTAAGAAGTCAGTTAATAATTGATTACTTTGAGATATGAGGTTTTCTTGGTGTCGAAATTGTAGACTGTGGTCTTCTACATTGTAATACCTTGTATGCGGTTCCAACATGCTAGAGGAAAGTAATGTCATCTTCAAGATAGGAGTTAAGCTGGAGGTGGAGGCTATATAATCCTCCAATATATTGGTAACCATTTATCTTAAATGGTTCTACAGAACCACATATACAGTATAACATTTCAATCAACAGACTGACTAAAAGATTGTAAAGTGAAAGCTCAACGAGTACCTTTCTTGCAGCAATGAGAAAAAGGAATCTGACTACTGACATAATGAATTTTTCACATAACATAAAACAGTACAATCAGTATGGAAAAGAACTGGGAAAGAAGAGGCAATATAAATTGTAGTTATATGAAAATATTTCTAACCAAGTTCAAAACAATGTTCAGAAATATGTATTTTCTGAATCTAATTTACTGTCACTTGACAGTGACTCTCTATACACTTTGTTACCTGCAATAAATAGTGAATTGTGTGTGCATGTTATGTTGTCAAAAGTAACTGATGAAGTTGGTATTGGTGGTGGTGATGGGAAGAACTGTTTAAAATGAGCTGCCTCTGTAGTTTGCAGTGCTAAATCCACTGCTTTCCGGGTGTAAAGATTCCCATGGTATTTACGTTTCTGGGTCTTACGAATCATAAATATATCAGCATGCATCTCCAATCTAGAAACATGAACAAAATAATGTGCTTAAGTAATTTGGCATTGACTCTTGTTAGGAGAAAAAAATAATGTAGAACTTATTATATATATTCCACTGACACTTACAAGCAAGAACATTCATCTTCATCACCAGAATAAACCATATTAACACCAACAAAGAAATCAGATTTCATTCCTGAATCGATCTCTTTATTTATAGCTTTTGCTATGAGAGGAGCAACTGTCCACTTCCATACTTCTTTTAGTGATATCACATAAGTTTCTTGACGAAGTTCTTGTAACTCAAAAGACAATGGAAACTTGTCAACTAGATGCAACCACAGAGAGTGAGCTCGGAGTTGAAAACTGATAGGCAGTGACAATGCACAGGTAAAATTATCACAGTCATATGAAGCTTTTAAGACACCATCAACAATCTGGAATAAATATGTTCATAAATTGCCGATTTATACCTTAAAAAACTTGTCAAAATCACCTCATAATTACTTCTTAAAGAATTACCTTCTGTACAACATCATCAACAGAAAGTTCTTCTTGCAGAAGTCCAAGGCAAACTATGCATGGATTATATTTAAAAAATTTTCGTTCTGGGCCACTATCACAATCCCTCTCTTTCTCCATTCCGGCCTGTGAAAAGAAACAGGTTGCAAGTACAAAAGTAAGGTTAGGTAACTCCTTTAATAACACGGCATTAGGCAAAAATGACATGCAATACACCTTCATTAATGTTGCTTCAACACAGCTGTATGAGTTTGAATCTCTTTCTCCTAAATAGCGCAAACAACAGCGCTGACAACAACCAAGACTTCGTAAATACTCGTATACTGCATGGCTTTCGCTAATTAAACCTATTGCCGCCATACTTCTACACACTAACTTTGTCGATATGTATCATGTTGGTAATATGTGGTTGGTATCGTGCGTATGGAGGTATATATGATTCTGTTTCGTGTGTTTCACAGAGTGTATTTTCTATGTTGGTATTCTCGGTCCGTGCCCAATCCTAACCTGTGATTGGAAGAAAGTGTGAAATGGGTTACGCCCGTAAATAATACGTAGAAAATGAGTATTAGTTCTGTTCAGACTTTTGCAGAGGAGTATTTTAATTCCTTGAATCCTATTGCTGAGAGGATTAGTACTGATATTGCAGCTACCAGAGATGCATATGAAAATCTGTGGCATACTTTAAGTTACAAGGACCGGAGTCAAGTTATTGATGAAACTATTATTCATCCTGAAGCTGTTCTTAGATATTCCTTCTGCCCTCAAAATGAACCAGAAGTTGAATACTTCCCATGTCTACGGTTTCAGACTGGACACAAGTATATTAGTGATGATGAAGGCGGCAAGGGTTTGGTAAGCAGAATATACTGTTCTGAGCTTGTAAAATTGTCTACACGTCCTTCCAGAAAATGAGTAATAACATCTTATTTTACAGGGTTTGACATGGCGTGATGAACATTCTGCACCATTTATGTGGATGACACGAAGCCAGTTAAATCTCTGCATTATAGATAATGCAGAACATGTGAGGAGACATCAGAATATTGTGGCAAATATCCCTGTAACTAATCGACAGAAACCAAAGGCTTCCTCACATAAAAAGATACATTCTCAGCATAGTAGTGTGTCATTTATTGATCCACCAAATATTGTTTTGGGTGGATCCTCTTCCAAATTAGTAGGTTCTGTAACTTCAAAAATAAAATTTCCCCCAAAGTCTGGAGATGATAATTTGTTAACAAAAATCAAAAACAAAACAGCTGTACTAAAAATACAGACTTTGAAGTCAACAGTGGGCAAATCAAGCGGAGACAAATCTTTTCACAGTAATGAGCCTGAAAGAGGAATTTTGGTTCAGTCAAAATATAATTGCTCTGTAATTCCCAGCTCAAAGCTTCCTAAACCTGGAGGAGGGAAAGCTGTCATATCAAAACCCAAAACTCCTCCTCCTCCTCCTCCACCTTGTAAGCAGAAACCTCAGACAGTACTCACTCCCCAGTTTGATTCTGAGAAAGTGGCTCTGTTACACGAGAGCAATGCAGATGAGCTTGCATGTAGGCAGTCATCAACATGTGATAATGAGGAAAGTAATGATGTGAGATGTTCAGATGAAAGTCTTGACAGTTTTGATAATTTTCATGTTGAATTAAATATTCCATCCAGCAGTGATACAGTTCCAAAAACTGGATTTGATTTTCTTGATAATTGGTAATACTCTGTTTCTGCATCGTTTTTCTGGAGTATGTTGCCAACTAAAAGAAAAAAAGATGCCCAAAGTATGCAAGGGGCCTGCAAGTTTTAAAATTTATTAGGCCGTGGATTGATTGTATTGATAAAAGAAAGTGCCTCAGAAATTCATGACTTATGTACAGTGTTGTTACTGAGTATTAGTAGCATTAGCTTACTATTCCCAACATGTCACAGTTTATGCAGCTTGATTTTCTAAATTGTTACAACAGTTGTCATTAAAAGCACAATATTTTATCCCAGAAAACTGACTTTACTGTAATATGTGAGGCACTGTACTTCCTTTGTTTTATTGTTACACAGTTCTGTAGTTTGCAGTATTTATTCAAGAGTGGTACTTATAATTGTGTCTTTGAGAACCGATTGTGTTTGTGTAATTTGTGTCAAATTGCTGCAGCCCCGGACATGAAAATTGAGTAATCCCCACTGTTCCACCTCTTCCATTACCACAAGCACTCTGCTGTTTCCACAGTGCTGTTAACATTATCAATCCAGGTGCCTGGAGAGTAGTTCTTTTTATTCCATGCTAATGTAGCAGAACTGCCTTTCACCACCTTTAATGCACTGTTGCCAACTCATGAGAAACTTGCACATGCAACACATTTAATTGGTGTTACCAGTATGAAGGCTGGAGACAGATGAATTGTGTGACAGATGTGGTGTCTGTGCCCTTCCTAGTTTGTAAACAGCAAAACATCCTGCTGTGACAGATGTGGTGTCTGTGCCCTTCCTTGTTTGTAAACAGCAAAACATCCTGCTTGAATAAGTTCCACTTCCCTACTCTGTGCCTCCTAGTACAACCATTCTCTCTTTCATACTGTGGTAGATTTATCTGGTTCAGATTATATTTACCCACCCTTCAGTAGTAATATTTCTTTAATTTTGCTATTGTAGCAGATGACTTAGAGCTGTAGTTTATTTCTTGGTTTACTGAAAACATCTTTTTTTATGCTGGACAGTGTTCTTAGCATATTTCAGCAGAACTAAAGTTTTACTGGTTAAATAGAATGGTGGGACATGACTGAGTGGATCAGAGGTAGAGTCCTTGGCATAATTGAAAAGTCAACAATAATAAGTACTGCTGTAGTCTGATCACTGTAAATTCTGTTCTGACATGAACATATGCATGTGCTTTTGGTCACTCATGTAGTTTCAGTTTGACTTTGTAGAACTAAAGAAATATTACCTGCATTTAAGGTACATATCTTTGTTTTTAAGTTCTGTAAGGAAGTGTGTTCTGTATGACCAGAATGTCCCTGCAATACATTATTATTACATAATATAAAGAATGGATTAATAATTATATAGCTTTAATTTAGTGAAAAAACAGTCATGCCTTTTTCATAGTCTGTGAACAAGCAGTCACAACCCATCATTTCACTACACATGTGCACACATTGTCAGAAGAAATGGCAGTTTGGTGTAAATCATTCTGTCCAGGTGGAAGTAAGAATGTGGGAGCCATTGGTGTTTGACTGATGTGGTAGACCATAGGCAGTAGTGAGCAATGAACCTAACTGATTCAGACTTTAAAGGCACCCATATCCTGCTTCAGCACTTCAGAACTTTTAATGACAAATAAATGTGTAGTTGCTACTTTAATACTGTGATACCTTCATGGTCAACTCTAACTTGGAAAGTCTGTGCCTGATATGTACTCTAGTAGTTGCACATTTGCTCTGAAATTGACTGTAGTATATTTTAGTGGGTAAGAACTAGTGTCAGCCAGGGAATCAATCAACAAAATATTGTACAGAAGGATGTAAATGCATTCTTTTGTCATGAATAAACAATAGTGAACACAGTAAATGAAGCTGGTAATATTTTTAAGAAATATGATTTCCATGTGGCTGTACACAGGGAGCGCATCATAAAGAATTAACTTTGTGCAGCTATGGACAATTGCTCAAAGCATAATCTTGTAGATGTAGGCTGTGGTTAGTTGTTTGACAGCTGACATACCTATGCTATCAGCTTATGTTCCATCCAACGCTTTGGCAGCACCAGTTCCTTCATTACATTGTTACAAGTCCCAAGTGAAGATATATATTTTCATTGCCAAAGTAGGTCAGTTTCGATAACTTGAATAAGTTGTGTTTCTGTATAAACACTTCACAAATGCTATTTTTATGTCTGTTATTTAGCATTCATTTTGAAGCGGGGTTTATAAGTTTAAAAGTTGCAGGTAACGGAGAACTTGCTGACAATTTAACTATTATTGTGATTCACTTATTCTGTGCAGTATTATTATATATTTATAGTTACAAGGGAATTGGGCAGATTTAGCTCTCAGATGTGTCCGTTGATACCAGAGACAACATAATTGCTATTTCTTCATCTTGAAGGAGTCAAAACATTTGTGTACATTAGTATACTTTGTGTAATCATCATCAAGCATTTAAATCAAGTCCTCCAGCTCGTGAACCCAAAAATAACTATGCAAGAGTAGCATCATACTTTTCATATAAAAGTTGTGTAATGGATTTGTAATTTTTTGTTGACATTTCCCTCGTATAGTTCCTGATCATGTGTTCACTACCAGAATTGGGGGTTTTCATTTATTGAACACACTTTGATACTGCCAGCACAAAAGAGAACTCTGATTTAGCACACCACTCTCTGTAAAGTGGGATTTAAGCCCCAAAATTTTATTATAGTCTGCGTATAAGTGCCCATCAATGAATATGTTTATATGCTAAAACACTCATTAAAGGCAACAAAATTCTGCCAAGAGACAGGTTTTTCTTCATGTCCACAAGAGACAGCCATACTGCTTGCTCACTTTTGTTGGAGAGGTTGCTTTGTATTTGTTGGTTTCAAAAGCTCGTAGTGGTGGTTGAAGTTTCCCATTGCCATCATGCCAGAAAGTTTTTGATCCTGGTAGCTACATGAAGATATGCAATTGCCATAAAATATAATTGGTGGTATGTGTGAAAATATGCCCACTTTTATCACAATGCAGGTTGTAGATGCTCCAGGAACTTATGGCAGTACAGTACGTTGACATGATGTATGGGTGATTCTGTCTGACCTGTTCCTAGATGATTTTTTAAGTTTACTTACCCTCCTTTTAAGAAAATAAATATTCCTTGTGTACTCATGTCAATGTGTTTATTTAATGTTGTCATTAACAACTTTTGTACCATTTTCATGAAAATCTTCAAGCCATTATAGATTTTCCAATGTTATGCTTATGAGGTACGAGGTTCTCATAATACTTAAAAATCCCCTATCATCAATGAAATCAACATAGCAACTGTATGAACTTGTGTGCCTCTGAGTTTTGAGGTTCCCACACTTATGAAGATCTCAATTGTAGTCTTTGAGGTTGTGATGGTGTATTGTCTTTGAGTTGTTAATAACATTATGAAGGAATATATAAAGTGAAGCTTTTGTGGTGACTGAAGTTGATGAAAGACTCTCGGGTTACAAGCAGTGTAACCCTGAGAGTCTGTCATCATTATGAAGGAACATTAGTAACTACTTTAACAAGGTATCACAATCGAGAGGACTACAATTGAATTATGTACTGTGATACACCATTAAAAAATGTGCAACTTATATTTGGGCTGGCCATTTATAGAATGTAAAGTAACAGTTTGACAGCTGCACAAAAGTGATTTTCATTGGTGAATCACAAAAGAAACACGTGAAATTTGGTATGATAGTAGATTAGCAATGTATCTACACATTCTATGTCGAGCGTCTATGATTGTTAAATGTTGCGAAAGATGGTAATGTGAAGCTTTGTTTTTATGTCTGGAGTCTGGCATATTACTTAAAATGGACTAGTATGTTTTACAAATTTATTCTGTGAATTCCTCTCTGCAGATGGGGGAAAAAGAAAGTTGTGTAATTACTTTCCACTGTGTGTTGTTTCTGCAGAAGGATCATTTTGTACATGGTATTGCATGTAACTGTGATATGGTATCTAAATGTTCATCCATCAACTTTGTATCAGCCCTGACTCAATATGTTATGGGAAACAATCTACATTTAGTATGAAGTATAATGCACTTAAATAAATGTGAAGGCTGATATAATTGTAAATGAAACTGAACTGCAGGGATTGAAAATAATGTCTTCACTCTTGTATTTTGTACATATTTTGTTTAATGTACACTTTTGCCTCTGTTTTTAAAAAAGAACTAATGTGTGATAATTTGCAACACTTTGTACCTTTACAGTAATAAACAGATATGTATCTTGGTAACCATGACTTGTTTTATTTTGGGACATGATAATTAGATAATATTAATGGATTTATCCGCTGCTTCATACAGAGACTTATTTTTGTGAGACTACTTCATGTTGTAAGACGTGCAGTGTTTAAATATTTGGGTCCGTTACTGTCCACAGATCACGAGAAAAACCCTGCTGGGGGAATGTTACTTATCAGCTGGACTAGAGGGCTGCTATTGGTGGGAAGTGTGACACGCCAGAGAGTTATGCTACTACACAGACTGAAAACATCAAGCAGTTGAGATTAACGTGTATCGAGTGCGTCTGTACTGTGTTCTGTGCGTGTTGTGATAATATTCTATATGCAATCACAGGTGATTTAAAGATGTCGAGTGTACGTAAACAGGGGAAAACTATTCACGGGAAATAGTATCCAGCGTAGTGAAGCTGTATGATGAGGAAGCAAGACGGAAAGAGCTAAAATTTCCCTTCACCCGCGCAACAGACGGCAGCCAGATACGCGCGTGTATCTAAGGCTTTAATTAAGAAGGTAGGAAAATAGTTAATTTTTTTGATAAATTGTTACCTTATTCTTCTGTTTCATCAGTTACAGCTCATGGCATTTGAGTATTGGATCAATATATTGGTTTCCCAGTGTTTTCAACTTTTACTGTGGGTTGTGTGTTATAACTCAATGCTATGACAGTTAATAAAAACGACCTGCTGCCGTTTGTAGTCATACTTTAAAAGAAAAATGTAGAATATAAAATATCTCTTAGTGATTTGTACATGGCTTTTATGAAACAGTTTTAACATGGTAATAAAATAATGGGGTATTATTCACAGCTGATTAACACATTTTAAGCTAACTGGTATTTCTGGTAGTCTTGATACAGCTACAATTTTATAAGAAGTTTTGCTGCCAAATGACATAAAAGCAGAAACTAACTCTATATAGAGACCACCTAATATATGCAGAGGGGGGTACGTAGACATATTGGCACAGTAACACTAACATATATTTCATTCCATATGAAATTAACCTAAAACAGAAAATCCAGTTTGTGTGCGATAATTGAAAAGTTATAATTCTTAGATACAATTTGAGGCTTGTGTAGGAAATAAAATTATTACCTCTGAAGTTGACATTGTGCTCTCATAACAGGTTTTGTTACATTTCTCCTTTTCATTAGTTT